GACACCACAGAAACCAAGCTTGGGCTACCTGTGATTTCATCCAGCATTAAGTTGGGTAAGTGACCGCGGTATATCAAAGATAATCGAGTTAACTATGAACTAAAATAAGTTATCTATGCACTCGGACGTACGTACGAAAGTGACGTAGTAGTCAAGCATGAAAAATCAACTCGTTAAGTATGGTGCTCCTCTCGCGTGGGACTTCGGCCCACGCGGGAGCTCCACTAAAAACTCGCGCGTTGATTGGCTGGAGGCTGTGACGTCGTCTTTATAAGATGCTGAATGCTTTTTACGATGACTCGATTCAATGAATTTTAGCTGGATAAATTCTGTTTTTATGGGCAATTTTGGAAAACAAAAGTGGAAAATAATCAGTTTACGAAACAACAAGTATTACCATGGATAATAGAAGTCCTTTTATGATCCATGATATTGCAAATATTTTATAAAGAAAAGTGTTTAAAATAACTTAAGCTTATCTATAGAAATATAAAAAGTTTTGAGAGAAAGTCTTTGATTTGTCGATTTGTCGAGAAAAGTGCTTGTCAAAAAAGATAATAATATACGATTGTTTGCTAAAAAAACACAACTGAATTCTTGAAGAACACTTCTTGATCCATCTTTGACTACATGAAAGTTTTTTTAAATTGTTTTTGGTCTATAACTTGTCCTAAAGCGATTTTTTCTGTGCATTTGAAAGCCGCGTTTGTAAGTAGTTGTTTGATATCAAGCGCGATTCCTGTGTCGTGTACACGGACGGACGGAAGTGACGTCAGCCAAGCCATGAAAAATCAACTCGATGGTTTACCATTTTTTTTAAAGTATGGTGCTCCGCTACAACACGCTCGCGCCATCCTTCAACTCGATTCGTAGCATGTAAATCAAGCCTACGACTCGCCTACGACAGACGCGAGCGTGTTATATACGATTGTTGTAGGCGAAAATCGTACCGTCTAAACCGGGCTTTACGTCATCTGATCACGAACGCTACAAGACCCAACAAGCACTTATACAATATAGATTACTTTGATATAAAGGAAATGCTGAAGTTCAATGTGGGATATTATTTCTAGCACTTGTGGACGCCGTGAGGACCCACTGTACATGCGCAGACTCGCAAATAGTTTTATCTTCGGATTATTCACATTAAAAGAATCAAGGAAAGATGCAAGTTGAAGTAAAATTACACAATTAATTAAATTAAACAAAAACGCTTATGTACAACGTCAACATATCGATTTTTCAGAAGACCCGTAGATCGAGCCGGGTGCATCGATAAAAGCTCTTTTCATTAGAATTCAAGACGAGAGTTTGGCATTTCTAAATGAATTTCTTTAAAATATTCGCTTAGTTCACAGTGTAAATAAATAGTTTCATGTGAAAATTTCAGGCAACAAATGTAGGAGCCGACTCGGCCGTGAACCTTGAAGGTTAAGATAAGTAGTATTTTGTAAAATCAACGTAACATATGCAGTATAACGCTTTTTGTTGATCGTCCCGATTCAACAAAAAAGCGTTGTATTACGTTGATTTTACATAATGACTTATCTTGAATCATACAATTTGTATCATAAACGGCCGATTATCTTGTGTATTCAGTTTTGAACTCGTAGGTCGAATGATTCCTAGAATAAAACACACAGCCCGCCTTTAATTAAAAACAGAGAAAGCGTTTCAAAATAGATCTTATTCCAATTATACTCTATACAGTCAACTCTCGCCTTGCGGACACCCCGATATTACGGAATTCGCTTCCAAACTCAACAAAATAACAAAGAACTAGGTGTGAAAAGGAAAATAAAAGAACTATTACTCATTTTACCAGCTAAATTGAATATTTAAAAAAAATATGAATTCGAGCGAAATACTTTGAATCCTTCGAATGTCAACAAGAATAAAAAGGGCACAGGGGCCCAATCTCCGAAAAGTGCAACAAGTATCCACGAGTTTGCCGAAGGGCGGTTTGATCTAAAAATCTTTCTTATTGATCTTGGAGTTCTTTCGTGTTGGTTTTCTCTTAGCTGTGTAGTGTTAGTAGTCTTCTCGAGTTGAACATAGCCTTGGATAATGCAGTCTTATTGTTGAATCCATTTTTATATTGTCCATAAAAACATAATTTAATCAGCTAAAATTCATTGAATCAAGCCGCGGAAACTTACGAAGTCATTCATCTCACCAATTCGAGTTCTTTTAAGAGTTTATTGAAGTAAGGGTGAATGACTTTGACAAAAAATATAGTACTGAGTAGACTTTGTTTACTAATGAGGCCTTACTTACCTCGCTTCCATTCAATTGTCCCTAGTCCCAACCGAGTTTGGCGGCCATTTTTGAAAGTCGTACATTCTTGAAACATTTCGTAATAAAGTTGTTTTCATGATATGTCTTCAGGCTGTAGGTTCGACGTTTAACTTCACTAAAAACCAGAAACGATGGTTGGTGATCAGCATATGTTTGAACATTGTTCTTCTTCCGCCATTACGAAAGTTCTTAGAACCTAATATACTGAACCACTACAATAATCTGAAGGCCAGAAACATCCACAGCCAAGTCTATGGAGGGCAGCTTGCTAATGACGGAGGCCAAGTATTGAATTATCGTAGCATAAACAACAATGGCACAATAAAGAAAGAAAAAAACTACGACTACAAAGTTACGTCTGCTGTTGATTTTGGCAAGCTGTACTTACAACCTCGCATGGCTAAATTCACAGGTGGGTACACTTGCCGAAGACTGATCCTTGTTCTCGTATTGACACTTTGTTTTAGTATGGCACTCCAATCAAAATCACAAGTAAGCCAACTTAGTGACTAAACTTGTGGTCCAGTTCTCTACTTTCACATCCCCATAATACTTTGCGTCTTTGGGGGGTAACCAGAGGGTAAAAACCCACTTATTTTGCTTACGGCTGATCAGACAATGTCGACAAAACCTTGTTTGGTATCCAAAAATAAAATGAAAGAGTAAAAAACAGTAAAAGATAGAAGCTTGAAGGCGTTTAAGGTAAATTTTAAACATTTTTTCGTAAGTCAATACATTTTCTGTAAGACCAAAACTCTTGATGATCTGTACACGCAAAAATAACTTGGAATAAACTGATAATCAGTATTGTACAGATAAAAGCAGGTATAGTATAAATTCAATTAAGAAACCTTTCAATTTGGGACAGTTTTTTGATTGGTTACCCCCCAAAGACGCAAGGCATTATGGGGGTGTGAAAGTATAGAATAGACCTTTCCCAAATTCGCTTGAGTGACTACCCAATAAAGGCTGGACTTAAGTCGTTGGATTCTCAAAGTTTTTCTCCACTTGATTTAATAAAAATAATAATAGCTCTTTTTTATTTATAATATTAGAGCTAATATACAAATTTAGGCACTTCCTAAATGCGGAACTCCCAATAGACACAGGGAGCCCAATTTAGATATAACTGAAAGATGAAAATAAAATCGGGGAAAAAATCATCAATTGCTTTTTGAGATGAAGATAATTTTCCCCATAATGGAAAAAAACAAAGTGAAAAAATGAAGTCGAAATGCACTACATCGTTTTCTTCGCATCTTCGAATCTTTGTTTTCGAGAAAAATTCTTCGAAAAAGCTTTCCATGGATGGCCGACATTTGTACGCTTTGAATTCTGGTTTATTTTATTTGAAAAACGAAAAATAACTACAGATAATCCATAACAATATCAAGTTTAGTGAAATACACCTAGGATGTCTTTCATTAAATCCAAATTTCGGAGATTTCCGAACTTGTTTATGGACAAATCAACACTATGAAACAGCCTTGAAAACTGGTTAAAAAAAAGGTGAGCAAAATATAAGCTTACTTTTACTTCTTTTACACAATGATGTTTGGTTATCCATATAAAGAGTTTTATGTCTTAAAAAGAACCGTTTTTTTACCGCAATGAAATTAAGAAAATAAATGCTTTAGTAGCATCAGAGAGAAAACTAGCTGGAGATCATTAAATATAAATAAACTAGTCAAATCAAAGCACTGAACGTCAGAACCAAATGTGTCAGTTAAGAATAATTTTCTTATCCTAATTCTTCATTAAAATGATTTTATTTCTTTCATAAAAGCCTTAACTATTTTTCGAGAAGCTTGAAAACTTAAGCTTAATAAATTTTGAAATTCCATTTTACCAGTTTTCATCTGTTTTCATTTGTGAGAAAGATACGGAAATCACGAACGAGAACGTTTTCGAAAAAAAAGTAAGCTAAGCTTATATATTTAGTTAAACTTGACAGGGACAACTGAGACAAAATAATAAACAAAATGCAAAGCAAAATGCAAAATAACAGTTTTTTTGTCAGTAAATTGGCATTTGTAAATGTTTTTGAATATTTTTTAGCTTTTGAAAGTGAAAGAAAAGGTACCGCTCTTTATGCAATAACATTAAGCTTAATATCTCCCAACAACACAAATTTAAGCTCATTTGTATCGTCATACTAACAGAAAAAGCCAATAAATGGCGAATATTTGGTGTAATTTGTACGTATGTAAAAATGATTGAAGAAAAATGATTGAAGAAAAAGAAAAAATAAATAGCATAAAATAAATAAATATTAATGCAGTGGGTGATTGGAACAGTTCAGCGTACGAGACTTATATGAGAGTATTATGGATATGTATCGTAGATAGGTAGCAATGGCACAATAAACGATAAAGTACATCGTACAATGTATATTAAGTTTTAAGAATAAAAGTGTTTCGAGTGAAGGCAACGTTACGAAGCATAAGCTCATGCGTCGCGGCGGTGTGGTAGGGAATACAATATAAAACTATGAAAGCTCTGGGATAGTCGTTCGATCTACCAAGTATTTATCATCAGGGGTTAAGACACAAGGTAGAGGTCAGTATTCGACCTACACGTTTCAAAACTTCTAGCGCCATGAAAAATCAACTCGCGCGGGCCTTCGGTCAACAACAACAACGCGAAGTAATACTCAAATTCAACTTCAGTAGTACATTCTGGATCATTCTTTTCAATATCTATCAGTTTTCATAGACAATTTGAAGAAAGAGATAACTATTTGGGGAATCAAACACGAAATTTCATTGTATTCATAATGAGAATGCTTCCCTTTCCTTTTTTCCCTCATTCTAGGGTTCGATGATACCTGTGATCTATCTGCTGTCCTTGGTATTCTTTCATCTGCCAGTGTGTTTTCTTCTGACGTTCAAGACTTCTCAAGTAAAGTACGAGAAGTAAGAAATGAATGGGCCCACTGTAACTTGCGGAGCTGGGATGAAACAAAGTTTGGAGATTCCTTCAAGGAAATGCATTCTCTTCTAAAAGCTCTGAAGCTGTCATCTGACGATGAAAAGACAGTAGCTGATCAACTGAAAGACTGGGAAGAAAAAGGTAGATTTTAGTAGATTTTTATACCTCTTTAGCTTCACTGGGCATAATGTTTTCCCATTTTAGACCACGTATCATTCTCTTGAGAAAAGGATTCTTTGTTCGAGTCGTATCCATATTCATGTGTCTTCTCATGCACAATCATTATACAAAGAAATGATACTCTAGGGAATGACACGTAGTCTGAAATGGAAAACAGTGGATTAGGTCTACTGAAGTTTCACGTCTGCTGTAAACGAGATGCTTGAACTCTATCGTCCCAGACCACGACGGTCGAATGTGTGACACAGGTTGCAATAAAACATTGCCTACTGTAACATCTTCTTTTGGTGCAACTGCAAACATTGCTTTAAGCAATTTCTTTTGTCGCGCAACATCATTGCAACATTGCGATTTTCGGTAAGAAATATTGACTAGTATACAAGACAGTGTACGGAAGGAATTCATACTCTCTTGCTAGCTTCTAATTCTTATCATGATTATTCTTTCAATTTATTTTCAGGTGTGCGAATGTGTATGACCAACACACTTCAACTAGAGTTGGTAAAGGATATCGAAGACAAAGTTACCCAGTTATCTCGAGAATTCAATCTTGCTCTCCGTCGAAATGAAGAAAACTTTGATCAGATATCCCAAGAAGTCAGCAAAATACTTAAGACCTTGGATACTGTACAGGATGCTATCCAATCTTTAAAACAGAGAATGGGCCGTGTTGAGCAAAGAGTGGGAAGTGTTGAGCAAAGAATGGGGAATGTTGAGGAAAACTACGATTGTCTAAATGACCGAGTTAAATGTTTGGAAGCAGGAAACCTGAAATAGAGCTTTTGTTATGAGAAAATTAATGTTTTTTGAGACTAAGCTAGACATCAGTTTTCTAATTACTACTTCTTATCGTATATCGTATGAAAACAAGATAAAGAACGATCAATTAGCTATGTAAAAATATCGATATAAGATTTCAGTAAGGCTACCATCGCGCACAAGTTTAGATGATGGTATGCATTGAATTCACAAGTAAACCTCTTAGCTCCTCCCATTAGCATTTGTACCTCTGGTTATGCCCTACGCAGTTTTTACCCCTTTGCTTAGTTATTTTAGCACTATTCTTTTGAATCTTATGATAGAAATATTCCTCGTAGCCTTTTCATACATTTACAATATATTCATATATTAACTTTAGTTTAAGCTATGTTTAATTCCAAGATTTTCGCTCGTATTACTCTTTAATAAGATATCACACTTAAGAATTTACTATTTCTTTTAGCCAATCATGATTCAATGATATCACATTGATGAGAGATTGACACCTGTCATAGAATTATCATAAATAGAGCTCATGTAATTAGTTCAACACAGAGAACAGAGAGTAGAATAAAGATCCCGGAGCTCGTACCAAGAGCGGTCGTCCCATAACACTTTTTTGTTAATTATAAACATTTTGTTCGCTGTTTCACCTCTGATTGGCTAACAACATTCAGCCATCCTCGATAGGATGTAACCTTGACATGCACAATATGTACAATTTGCCATCACGACAAAAAAGGGGTTTTGGTGGACGTCAATTAAAATCAAACAAGTAGAAGCAGAGAAAAGAATAATGGAAGAACAACGTAGAATTTAAAAGCAACAAAGACGAATGCGTGAAGAAGCGGTAGCTCTATTAAGATTACAAAGACAATTATTTATTTCTGGTGTCATACGTGAAGGCTTATACCTCAGTCAAAGAAATTCAAGGGCTTTTACGTTCTCATACAATTTACTTTGGTCGTTTCTAAATAATCTCCAAGCTCTTTCGCCTTTGAAGGACCAGATTGTAGAGCTCAAGAAAACTATACCACCGACTATCTACGAAATAGACGAAGGAGATGAAGAAGAAAATTAAGAAAAATCTAGCTTTCTATATCAAAATGAAAATGTCAAATCAAAAACAAGTGTGTGTATAAAATTTAAGCGAATCGCATTGGTTCGAGACTGCACGTATGAAATACAAGCAAAAAGTACGTAGTTGCAATTCTTCCGTTTCCCCCGGAGATAGATTGATAGAGGTGGTTACGGGTAAAGCCAGCTAACAGGGCTCTGGCAATGTGCATGAGACCATCAACCCCATCACATGTTACTTATTGCAACGGAAACTAAGATACGGACACACGATGCAACATTGCACTCAACGTTGCGAGCCATGACACACGACGCAATTTGTTGCACGCAACGTTGCTGAAGTAGAAAACCATCCTATTTCAGCAACCTTGCCTGCAATGCTGCGCGCAATGTTGCACCGTGTGTCCGTGCCGGCTTAACACAAAGGATAACCATAAGAAGTCCTTTGTGTCAGCCCTACGTGCCACACAGACATAGATGATAATGACGAATAGATTGGAAGAGTATTCAGTTGAACTCCTATTTAATTTCTAAGGCATTTATACATTAACCACTTATGATTACCCTTGACAGAAATGAGTGAGAAGGTAGGGCACTTAGCTTATTTGTCGCATGCGTACAGCAGTCATATAGCACTTGGGCAGGTGACCTGAACATTGAGTGTTTTGTTTCTTTTTTGTTTGGCTTTCATTTTAAAGATGCTTGAATAGATAAAAATATCAATGTTTTTGCTCATAATTGCCACTCCAGTATTTTAACCCTTGTATGGTTCTCCTCCTCCTGTCTACACAAACGCGTACCAGTTCCCGTGCGACAAACTAGTGTTCATGCTTCCACTAAAATTCTGTCAAGAGCAAGAAAAACTGCGGACAGTTATGGGCAGGGCAGCAGAGTTTATATGTATTTAGAGATATATATTGTCTATAGTTTACCCCAAGAGAGAGCTCAATAGAAACTGTAAGTGTTTTTAAAAGGTTGAAATTATAGAATATTTTACATGTAAACACCTGAATTTCTCTGGCTATTATAAATTTCGAAATATGACACGAGCGCTGATTGGTTGACTACCGTTTTTATATAAGGGGATATATAGGCACACGCTCGCGCAAAATCGTTCAAAAATATTTGATTAAAGCAATATATGAAACGGCTGCTTATGTCTCTATACTGTGACTTTCAAAGTGGGTCATAGTGACATTGTCTAAAGTAGGATTAATAATAATAATTTATTCTATTTTAATGTATTCCATCTGAAATAATATACTAACTACATGTAGAGAGTTAATGAGCCTGAAGCGAGATGACGTTTTACCCCCGTCTCTAGACCATAATCCTTTTCACACTGCTTTTGTTCTTTAATTATGACTATTGTTCCTGTATTCTCTAAGGAATCCAAAATTTCAATATGAAAGAATTTTAAAAACTATTATGGTATAGAGTCGGGGGTAAAACGGCATCTCGCTTCAGGCTTATTGCTATATATTTACTTTTTATTTCAAATTAACGAGACCCACAATGCCCTTTGGTCTTGGTATGCACTATTCAGTATTCAGTATTCAACCTTTTTTTTTTGTTAAAATAGCTGTATATCTTTAAACCAGACTGAATCAATTTATCAATGGGATGTGATAGTTGGGTGTGGTTGAATAGTGGTGGGTGGGGCACCAAAGGGTGATGCTTTCAACCTCGCATGTGACATTCACTTGCAGCTGAATTATCAAAATAAACAACTATAAATAGAATCAAAGATTCCATGAAAAAGATGTGCTGGACTGGATCGAGCTATTACACAATAGATGTGTTGAATAAGATTATAGATTTATTATACCATCCACTTTGAAATTGATGAATAAAAAATATATGGGTAATTGAATTAATCCAAGGTATGATGCGTATGAAGATATTATAGAGTGCAAACAATATAACCGTGAAACTTTAGTAATACTAAATATCACAATTCAGTCATGAAAATTCCATTGTTTTTTATTGTATTGTTTAATTAGCACTATTTTGTACTATTTAGTAATTAGTGTTTCACGGATTAATTGTTTGCACTCTATTATGAAATATCATATTATATTATAAAATTTTGCGTATGAAAATAAGTGATAAAACGAGGGAAAGTAAGAAAGAGAACGAAAGATTAAGTCACTTGCATCATTTAGCCTCATTTACTACCACTAGCAGAATCCCTTGCACACTTTCTTTTGTTTAATTAATTAGCACCAATTAATTGTCTTATTATTCTCTTGAAGAAATGAAAATTCGAATAAGAAAGAAAATAATTCGCGAAGCATTTTGGTAGTGGCAGTAAATTGACGCCATCATGCAAACGACAGAAAGATAAAGAGATGGCAATTTTGTGCGATGGGTTTCCTGTGTAATGACGTCATTCCCATAGTCCCCTGGTGGAGTGTTGCGAGAGGGAATACCCTTGGACAGGACAAGAAGGTATGAACTAGAAAACTCTTTCTAGCTTCAATTCATCTGGAATCCCGCTGCATTTCCTTGCCAAAATGAACGAATTCCGTGTATTACTCCTCGATATTGCCCAGCATCTACGAAAAGATGATTTAGAGCACCTTAAGTTTGCTTGCAGTACATTTATTCCTGCCGGAAGAGCAGAGTTTATTTCTCGACCACACGAATTATTCTTGGAATTGGAGAAGATGGGCAAACTAAGTGAGAGTGACCGAGAATTTCTGGCAGTTATCCTCGTCAAAATCGGCAGGAATGACTTAAGAAATAAACTCCTTGGGATCCCAGGTAAGGTTTACTCTTAATAGTGAATAGTCAGCTATTTATCAGTATGGTATTTTGACATAAACTTATTTCTGCGAATGTAATTAGCAATTTGAATTATAATTTGTCATAACTCTCATAGAATTGTACAATTAACCAAACTCGAAAAATAAAAAGAATAATAAGTCTAAATATTCGAATGATGAAACCATTAATGGAACCTAGGGGAGTAAGCCGTTTTGACTGTAATACTTGTGAGCTAACACATTTTGACACTACAGATATTGGACAGACACTGGAAAGAATGCAGTCTAAATATGCATCAGTCATTTACATAGAATCCTCAATCACCTGACACCATTAAAACTTTTGCTGGAAATTCACCCTTAGCATTGCCATATTGCAGACAGAGAATATGAGAAGAGTAACAAGGCTCTCTCTCTTTTCTGTCTTCGGCAGTTTTTACTTTTGCTCTTGGACAGTTAGGAGCTCACCCTTCCCTGCTCCCCCAGACATATAGTAAATCACCCAGTCATGTTTGAAGGGGAGGGGTTAGGGGAAAGTATTCTGTATTCTAGCTGATTCAACCGTAAAGTATACAGTAAAAACCCGCACATAAGAACCTGTTAGCCTCAAATTTGTCATTTATACCCCCTTTAAACAAGAACCTATTTAGCCTAGAAAATGAAAAACAGGTTCTTATTTCAAAAATCATCATTTAGTGATGCAGAGCTAGGTAAGAATCCTGTTTGGAAAAATAGGGGCTTGCCATTGCCGTGCAGATAAATCAATTAATGTAATAAAAATGTAAAGTGAAGGAAGGTTGATATTAATTGTATTGCATTAGAATGATTTTCACATGACCGTGAAAGAAAATAGACCATTTAGTTTGTAATAGTTGATAAAGAACAAAAGAAAATCATTGGTTTAGAGTCTACTACTAACTATTAGTTTGCCTATTCTTTCACGATCATATGAAAATCACTCTATGAAAAAAAAACTGTACAGCAATAAGTCAGCATGTGAAATATAATGTACAGTAATCTACAGTGTGAGTACATGAGTACATTTATTTGTTTTTACACAGAAATGAGAACCTATTTAAGAACCTAGATAGCCTAAAATTGTGTTAACTACCATTTAAACAAGAACCTGTTGAGGCTAACTCTAAGAAATGTGGATTTTTACTCCCAGGTTTTTATTGTAACCTTACTTTTTGATTTAATACCCTGAATAAGAGAACAGATTCTTCCTTGATTTTTACTGATTTTTCTATAGTTATTAAACCAACAATTTGGATTGTTTTATTTTTATATTTTTAGAAAGACCACTGTATGAAGAACGACCACATACTCGTAAGTATTGTAATTTTGAAAGTGAATCAACATCCATTATTTTAAAGAGGGTTATGAAGATGTATCAACCACAAAATGTTATCTACAGTAGATAACATATATATTCAACCCTCTGATTCCAAGATGGATTTAGAATTTAAAATTGTTGATTTTTGGAGAGAGAGAGGGAAATCGGAAGACCTGAAGAACTACTATATTCAAGTCTAAAACTATACTAATTCTTTTTAATGCTTACTTTTTAAAAGAAGCTACAGCCAGAAGACAGCATCAGTTGGAGCCTTTCAAACAAAGAGTCTCAACAGATATTATCTTGGAAATTGCTGAAAAAACTAGCACCAGTTGGAAGTTTTTAGGCCGGCACCTCAAGGTACCAGAGCACACTTTAAGTAATATTGATGACACATATAAAAAAACAGAGGAAAAAGGATATGCAATGCTGAAGAAATGGTCTGAAACCAGTGCGACACCTACAGTACTTGTTCTCTTGAGGGCACTAGATAAGTGTGGGAGAAGAGATCTTGCGGAGATCATTGAAGGTTAGAATTGAAATAATTTWAAATTTTTTTTTTCTAATTAATTAAAAAATATCTAATTTTTTTACAGTTTGGCCAACAGATATTAATAGACAAAAATTACAAACAAATAATAATTGGATTTCGCATTGGCATTTGTACAGAGTAGCTGTTCGTTGACTGAAATCCAATTGGAATTTGAGGTTGAATTTTGCCAAGGGAAGAAAACCAGAGAACCTTTAAAAAACCTTCAAAGCACAGGAGAAAACTAATAAGCAACTCTACTCATATGATGGTGATTCTGGGAATCATAACTGGGTCACATTGGTGAGAGGTGAGCGCTCTCACAGCTACTCACATACCACGCCCATTCCAGGAATCAAACCCATATCACATTGACCATAGGAGGCAAGCGCTCTCACCAATACTCCAACTGTGGTCTGCTTCCCATGAAAGACACCCAACCAAGGAGGAAAGTAATAGTGATCAATAGTACCCATATTTTCCGGGGAGGGGGGAGGGGGTACTCCCCTGTCTTCACTATACAGGTACGTGCTGCCAAACAGGGTATGGTTTTCAGCGATTTTACTCTGGAGCAGGGTATATAAAATCGCACTCGCTCTTGGACAGGGTATATGAAATCACGCTCTCTCCTCTCTGGAACAGGGTATCTATTTTCACAATACAGGAACTGGGTATGGTTTTCAGAGATCTTGCTCTGGAAGACATCTACATTTTATTGTCAGCAGGAACTATACATTAAGTTATCACGCTAACTATGGGAAAATTAAATAAATAGATAA